ATTAAAAAAAAAAAAAGACATCTCCATGGAAAACTCTTCTGAGGAAGGTTCAATTACTTTCCCACATTTTAAGAGCAAGAGTATTATTCTTATTTGCAAAACTGAATATATCCTTGATTAACATTAAATGTATTATGATGTGAGTCACAACAACAAACCAAATGATCAAAGCACAAATTGAAAGAAAAAGTAAAATATAACTAAGTATATTATCCCATCTGAATTCCTGACAAGTAACAGATTTAAAACATAGTAACTAGTTTTAAAAGGCCAATACTTTTTCCCCTAATTACCATGCCAGTCACTTGAAACTATGAACTGCAGTGAGTTTCAAGCCACAATCTGCTCAGATTTTAGTTTAAAACACTTGAGACACAGATAAAGTAATTATTTTGAGGGAGGGAGGAGATGGTCAGAGGTGATATTCTAAGCAAACAACGTTAGCATCTCCACAACAGTAAATAAACAAAGTTATATTAATGGGTGATAAACTTAGCATTTAGTGAAAAATAAGTACCTCTAGAATGATGAAGGCAGCTGGATCCACAGATTTGCATTGGAGGTATCAAATATTTAAATGTCTACTAATGTTTCAATACCACAATGATAGACACTTCAATTATTTAAGTATACATAACTGTGATATCTTAAAGGATGGGGGGAAACTCAAGTAGAAAAAGAACTGTCTGCAATCTTGAAGGTATTCTGCTAAGTTAAACTGGCATTTATCAAATTGCAATTGGGAGTATAAATATACACCTACAAGTCTGAGCATCAAATTATACAGTAACAATCTACTGACTGTGATTGTCACAAACTACCAAGTTATTCGTATTTTTCCCTCTTATTATGTTAAGTTGACACTAAGCATAAAGCTTCAAGGACCATATTGTGTCTTATTAAACTGTAGGGGAGCTTTGCTCATCCAGAACAGTATTTGCCATTTATAAACAGTTTTTTCCTCTTTTCTTTTCATAAGTAAATGAAGCTGTAAGCTGAATCCAATTGAACAAAAATTTTTGTAGGGGGTGATACAAAGTCAAATTTTAAAAGAGCAGATTTTGACTGAAATTGATTCTTAGACTTCCTTGGTAATGGTTTGCATGTGTCAGCACTAACAAAGAATGACACTGGCATAAACAAAGATTGTTGCCTTAACTTTTCCTCTGGTTTACTTTACTATTCAAAGAAAAAAAATTATATTAACCCAAATAATTAAAAAATTATTATTAACCCAAATAATATTAAAATTTGGGCTTAAATTGTAGAACATATTAATCTTGGAAAAAAGAACAAGACTATTGCATTAGCTATTAGAAGTTAGGAGCAGTAATCACTGGAAATATTTCCTAATATTCCCAGCTACTTTTACAACAATCAATAAGCAAATCTCCTACCACAGTGCTTTTAAAAAAACATGACACAAGCAAGATTAGTTTACCACTGTCCATGTTTTGGTTTCTTTTTATTTAACAAAAAATAGACAAAAGCACTTTTGATATTTTTTTCTACTAGTTCTTCCACTTTTCTTCAAGTGAAAAACACTAACGTGTGAAAAGTCCTTCTCTAAGAGGAAATAAAAATGCTATTTTCCTAAATCCGAGGGGTTAAAGTTTCTTGGATCAAAAGTAGAGAATAGAATCAAATATTAAATCTCCTAGAGCAGTATTTTTCAATCTTTTTTTATCTCACAGCACACTTCAATTATGTTGATCAAAAAAAGGGTAAAAGAAAGAATATACTTACCACACTATGAACTTTTTTTGAAACCAATTTAATTAATGACCTTTAAAAATTTTCCAAGGCACACTGGTTGAAAAATCACTGCCCTAATCACTGCCCTAGAGCAAGCTAACTACTCATGATTCAGAGCATGATGATGAGCAGAGGGAAAATACAAATGTGCAAACCTATAATCCAAAAGAAAATGGATCAGAAAGAAAACGACAATTGTTTTCTGATGGAAAAAATTACCAACTTAACTGCAGTCAACATAATACAATTCAAAGCCACATTTGAAACAGTGAATAAAAATGGAAAATATGCACTTCCTTCAAAGAAATATGGGGTATTCCAAAAGTTACCCCAAAGTCCCCATACCTACAGAGAAAGGAGATGTTAGCTAAATGTATGTTTATTTACAAAAAATATTCATTGTAAAATTTTACAAAGGGGTGTCCAACACCACACAGTGAATACTTTGTAAATATTTTGTAAAATTTTGTAATCAATGTTTTGTAAGTAAAAGTATGTTTTGCTACAATTTCCATTTTTCCCTACGCATGGTGACTGTAGAGACACCATGTACATTTTGCTCTTACATGATTCTGTTTTGTTTTTTTTTTTTTAACAAATATGCTTCAAAAATCTGCACACATTAACTCTGTTTTCCTTTACTACAATTTCACACGTACTCCAGGGTAAGTACCTTTTGCTCTTGGAAAAAAAATCTAACATGTAACAACGTTCATAAGAGTAAGACAGCCACACGTGAAAGTATCTTATTAAATTTTAATGGTAAAGACAAGTTGCTCTCATACTTTGATAAACAGACATACTTTCCATTATGCAACAGAAGAGCATTCTTTGGCCAATATAATTCTTAGGTTCAACACACACAGTATTTGGTTTCTTAACTTTTTTTTCATTTAGCTAAGTAAAACCTTCCACTACTTAAATAAAATAAAATAAAATAGATATAACAAATTGTAGCTAGACAATTGTGTTACAAAAGGTAGCTAACTATGCAGTAGTCTCCAGCTCTGACAGGAACACCATTTCCTATGATTTTAATGATGGATAGATATATAAAGTCCTTTTTTTTTTTTTTAAAGTAAATGCTTTGACTAAATACCAGTGTTAAAAGGGGGTTAGGGTTTTTGATTGCCGTTAATGCAGTCCTCTTAAAGTAATACAATCAAAATAAGAAGCTAATTCTTACCAATATAATTGTATATGAATAAAACTGCTTTTTCATAAAGAAACTCAATTCAAGTCACTTAGCTTTCAGTTTCTATCAAGTCTGAGATAAAACGTGTAGTTTTCCCAATTGCACAGTCACATGTCACTGTCATTCACCTAATCCGCACTTACTACATAAGCACCATACATTCTGTATTACAGATATACAGAATGGCCATAAGGTTCATGCGCAATTTGAAATAGTCTATTTTAAAATATCCATAATAGTCAATTAAAATAACTACTTTAAATTGTTGTACATGAACTTTATGGCCACCTGTATACTGGTAAATTTTTTACACGTATCAGTTTATATCCACTGAGGTTTATCACAAATATAAGGCTACCTGTATTTTTCAGAATTACTTTGCCATTAAACATATGCCTCTCTTTTAAAAAAGAAACAAAGTTTTGACATAGTATTGCAAAATGTCAATAATAATGTATTTCACTTCAAGAACAAAAGAATAAAGAAATATCTTGCTGCTATTGTTAAATAAGCTGAACTAAATAAGATTTATTGTAGGGGCAGGGGCAACTATCATAAATTTTTATGAACAACTCATTCTCCAAAAGTAGGCTGTTACTCTCGTCTCTTAAAATGATCCCAGAATTTAAAAAAGCAAGTAGGAAATTATGAAAAGCTATTAGGCAAGTCATGTGGTTAACGACTAAGATTTGGGAGATAGATTCAAACTCTTCATTACATCACTTAAAGAAACTTGTGATCTAAGGTAAGTTTTTAGCCCCCTTTTAACGTCAATCTCTTCATTTGAAAAACTGGTCATTGTATTAAGTAATTATTTAGCATGAGCCTAGCGCTCAATAAGGTCGCTATTGTCATCATTATCAAAACAAACTGATAAAAACGATCTTGCAAAGCCGCTACGCTCCTTCTGCTTTAAAACCGGGTCTTTTCCTGGCTTAGTAGGCTACTAAGCTGTTTACTTTTAGTGTAAAGGACTCCACTGAACTACGAAGAAGAAAAAGGCTAGAATGGGAAAAACTGGATTTTACTGGTAGCAAGAAGATGGACTCAGGTAAAACTGGAGGGCGCAGAATTTGTTAGAGGGCTGTCATCCTATCTTTCAACTATCCTACCAATCACCAGTAGATTTAATGGGGGGTCAGATGGATATTTCTCGGCATATGCTTTTGAAATAAAATCACTTCAGGTAAAAGAAAAATCAAGGGTCCGGGACAGTACGTACCATACGAGATGAACTCTTAATAATTACTTGCCGAATGAATTTACATTTCGGAGGGAAACTTGAACTTCCCAAGAAACACCGATGGAACAAAATTTTCATTTGCAATTCTGAACTCGAGTCCCTTCCCTTACTAAGCGCTCAACACTCAAGCTTTTTTCTTCACTTAATTATTTCAAAAACCTCAAGCAGCAGAAATATGCCTGAAGTTACAGTTAGGAAAACAACAACTGGAATCCCCACTGGCATTTTTAGGGCTTCTCAGTCCAAGCTGTTTGTGCTGCACTAAAATTTGCGCCAGTACCTGTCCCCCTACACTGTTCGGCTGGACAGAACACTTACTGAATTTTAAGCCTTTCTTGCTCTTCTATGTTGCCAACCCTTTCATTTCACATTCCCTCCTATACTGGACTATAACACAACATCGGGAATGTTATTCGAGTACCGGCCCGAAGAACAGGAAATCTATTTCGCTCCGCACGCCCGCGCTCAGGCGCCACCCCCACAAGTGACAAACACAGGCTGGGGTCCAGGGATGCTGCAGACCGCGCCCAGGTCTCAAGTTTTAGCCAAGGCCCACGTTCAGAGCAGGAGAGGGGAGAAGAGAGGGCTACCCCTTCCGGACGCCCTCGCCGCGGCAGAAGCACAAAGAGAAGGTCGGAGTGGTAGTAACAGTGCAAAGGTGAACCTCCAAGACCCCGCAAGTCCGTTAAACGCACTTACTTGTGTGAGGTAATTCCAGGACGCTAGGCCAGCACCGGCAACGGAACGGGCTCCTGCGTCCTCCAGCCCCCGGCGCCGAGGGTGACGACATCTGGCCGCGCCGCAGGAAGCGAAGGACCAGCTCCCGGCCGCGAGCCCGGCGCTCGGAGCGCGCGCTGGCGAAGGGGGCGGGGCGACTCGAGGCGCCACCTTTTAAGCTTCACGGGCGGAGCTGTTGCTCGGGGCGGTGTTTAAACATGTCGCGCCTGAAGGGAGTAGCGAGGCAGGATCCCCGAGCGGGTTTCAGAGCTGACTCGAGGGACGGCGGTACCTGCGTCCCGCAGGGGCTGTTAAAGGCGGCGAGGAAGAGCGGCCAGTTAAACCTGTCGGGTAGGAACCTCAGTGAAGGTAAGCCCCAGAAGTAACGACCCGATTGTGTGTCCTGCCCCAACGCCTTGGGCCAGGCAGCCTCCCTTTCTCTGGCCTGGCTTTGGCCTTCTTAGCTCCCAAGCCAGATCTCTGTGCTCTAATCTAGACATCTGTTACATTACGATTGACTTGGACAGTCCATGTCGGCTCTTCCTTTGGCTCCAGCAATCTCTGGTCAAGGGACTCTACTGGGAATCTAACCAAAATTTAAACGGGGTGCTGCTGGGATTCCTACATTCTGTGAGATAAACGATATAATGTGTGACGAAATTAGCTGTCAGTTGACGGACTGATACTTTCTCTAAAGCTAAAATTTTATGTTTTCTTTTTTATCTGCCCTTTTGCGAGCTTAAAATGAGTCCCGCTCTTCCTTGCTGAAAGCCTCTTCTGTATGCGCTTGTGCAGAATCCTCGTTATCCTAAGGAATAATAAGCATGTTTTCTAAATTGAGCATCAAAATAGACGCTGCATTAAGTTCAGATTTGAGGCCATGCTGAGAAAACTTGGTAGAGACACATCTGGATACCACGAATGAATGGCCAGATGCTCTTCTGGTTATCTCTGGGAGAGCGGGGTTGGGGTGGGGGGGCAGGGGGTGAAAGAGTGGCAGAGAGGGAGACGCAGAGATTGAGAAATACAGCATTCTTCCTGTAATGCTTTCCTCTATTTCTTCATAGTATCCAGTTTTTAGACTAACCGTGATTAAAATCTTCTATTTTCCTTCTCATGGGTGCTTTCTTATTGTGCTACGTATAAAGTAGTCCAGACAGACCAGTACTTGCAGAATGAGAGAATATATGACGTAGATTCTTCTGCTCTCCATTAATACCGTAGATTGTCTTTATTTTTGAATGTTAAACCAGCCTACCATTCCTAAGATAACTTCCAATATATCATGATATATTTATCCTTTCTATAAAAGTTGCTAAATTTCTTAAGAAACTTGGGGTGGAGGGTTCAACTATAACTTGAACTTTTTCTGGGAAATGAAAACAACGAAACCTAAATATTTGTACCCTCGTATTAATCTGAAATAAAATTTTAAAAAAACTCAGCAGTATATTAAAAAAAGAAATTTGGGGTCTATAATCATTAGGGATATTGCACTCTGGTTCTTTGTTTTAGGCGTTTTTTTCTCTTAAGGCCTCTTTGTCTGGTGTTGGTATCAGGCGTATGCAGGCCTTAGAGAACAAATTGAGAAGTGTTCTTTCCTCTGTTTTTTGAAAGAGAAAAGAGTTTGTGTAGAATTAGTATTATCTTTACTTTAAATATGTTAGAATTCACCAGTGTAGCCATCTGCCTGGAGTTTTCTTTGGAGTATGTTTTAAGTAGTAAATTCAGTTTAATAAATGAAAGGTTACTTTCTATTGCTGTTGTGCCTTTTGATTTTTCCTTTCAAGGAATTTGTCCATTTCATCTACGTTGTTGGATTTATTGGCATAAAACTGTTCAAAATATACCCTTATCCTTTTAACATATGTAGGATCTGTAGTGACAGTCTCACTTTGATTCTTGATCTTGATAATTTGTTTCTTTTTTTTTCTTCATCTGTCTGGCCAAGGTTTATCAATTTGACTGATCTTTTTCAAAGAACTAGATACTGGCTTGTTGTTTTTCACTATTACTTGTCCGTTTTCTATCTCATTGATTTTCACTTTTTATTTCCTTGCTTCTACTTTCTTTGGGTTTTATTTATTTATTTTAGGCTTCTTAACATGGTAGCTTAGATCATTGTGGGATGGAGTTATCAATGAAGCAAGGCTAGCCATGAAGTGATAATTGTTAAAGCTGATTAGAGTTGGGTGATGAGGACATGTAGTTTTCTTTCATTATGCTGGTCTTTAAATTTATGTGTATGTTTGAAATTTTACATAATACCCAACTCCATAGTAATTTTTTCACATTTATATGCTATGGACATTCATTTTTACCTTGTAGTTTCTATTTTATAAATTGGTGAACTATTATTAGGATGGCTCCATAGAACTCCTCAGTAATTAGGACTATATGTATACCTTTTACTGGTTCTTCATATGGGGGAACAACAGTGACAGGAATCTTGGTGCTATAAGTTCTGGAATAAGTTGGGATACCTTAGAAATAATTAATGGGGAAAAGAATGATCAGTAAGTTATAGTTTATAGAAAAGCAAATTGACATATGTTCAGTAACAGGATAATCTCAACAATTGTCCATACCTTCAGTAGTTCCCTAAAAGATAAATTTGGTAACAAAAATACTTGAAATAATAATGATAAAATATTAGTACTCATTTAGTATAGTTGATTGGTAACAAGTATGTTTATTGTATTGTGTGCACATACACTTGAGTTGACGAGTTCAAATCCAGCCCCGGCCAGCCAAGCAACAATGAGGGCTGCAACCAAAAAATAGCTGGGCGTTCTGGTGGGCTCCTGTAGTTCCAGCTATTTGGGAGGCAGAGGCAGGAGAATCACTTGAGCCCAGGAGTTGAAGGTTGCTGTGAGCTGTGATGCTACAGCACTTTACCCAGGGTGACAGCTTGAAGCTCTGTCTCAAATAAATAAAGAAATAAAAATTTAAAAAAAAAAGTAAAAATAAAATAGTTTTGCTACAGTACCTTTTAGAAACTTAAGTTTTGTGGTAACAACATGGATTTTCCCAAATCAACTTGTACAGACTTATTTGCTGTATTACACAAATCATCATTTGCTGCAATAGAATAACACAATACTATGTGGTGTGGTAAGAAATACAATTGAATGTCAGGTAAAACAGAAAGTAGCCAGATGTTTCTCCCAAATCTAAATGGAAAGCAAAACAAAAGCAAAATAATAGAGCTCTGTACAAGGTTTCGGTTCTCCCTCTGCGGCTTAACCAGCTCGTAGCCCTGGCCAGATTTTGCATTCTCTTTGTACCTCATATTTCACATCCATTAGTTGGGATTAGAATAGCACCGACCTCACAGTTGTCACGAGGTGTAAATGAGTTAGGATGTTAGAAGGATTTGTAAGTTTTAGCTATTATGACCAGCCATTTCTTTTATTTTTTTGAGATTAACATGAAAGTAGACATGATCAGGTTACATTATGAGCATTTGTAAGGTAAAGTCCAAGTTGTAGTTGTGTCCTTTACCTAGAAAGTGTACCCTGTGCCCATTCGCTGTTCCCCTGGTGGTAACTTGCTAAGCCTCTCCTTTTCTCCCTCATGAATCTGAGTTTTTCTCATGTGAGTCAGTAGTTTTTAATCTACTGCTTTCAACTGAGTATTGAGTACATGTGATACTCACTTTTTCATTCTTGCGGTACTTTATATAGGAGAGTGTTCTCCAAATCCATCCAGGTTGTTGCAAAAGATACAAATCTCCTTCCTTTCATGGCTGACTAGTGTTCAGTAGTCTGCATATACCACAGTCTATTAATCCATTCGGGTGTGGAAGGGCACCCGGTTGTCTCCACATCCTTGCAGGTGTTAACTGGGCTGCTATAAATACTCAAGGGCGGATGTCCTTATGGTGAAATGACTTGTTTTGTTTGGGTAGATACTCAGTGATTGGATTGCATTACCAGCCCTTTGGAGCCTTAGCTATACTTCTGTTAAAATTTTTACATTACATATAGACATTGATTTCCGTGCCTTCTCCATTAGTCTGTTAGCAAAATGGTAAGATTCCTTCTTTGTCTTACACGTGTACTGTGCAGCGTATGTATATAGTAAAAAAGTTGAATGAAGTTAAAAGGGAGAGTTGATATGTAAAATATGTGTTACATAGTCTGTTTTTGAATAAAATAATCTCTGTAGTTAACATTTCTTACTCTTTGACTGGAGATTTTTTTGTTTGAGAAATTGTTTTTCAAAAGATGAACTGAATCACTGTTTCAAAAGTATGTCACGTAGTATCTGCTTCTTGTCTCCCTCCCCCTTCCCCCACCTGTGTGATGGTGGTGGAAATAGTGCCTCAGTGTGTCTGGAGAATAAATGTTGATATCCCCGAGGAAGCTAATCAGAATCTTACATTCGGTGCTACCGAGCGATGGTGGGAGCAGACAGATTTGACCAAACTAATTATATCAAACAATAAACTCCAGTCACTTACAGATGACCTCCGACTCCTGCCTGCATTGACTGTTCTTGATGTAAGTTGACTGACTACAAATCTGGGTTATTAGTAGAAGGGATTCGAAAGCTAAATTTGGGTTTTGGTAAGTAGAAAATCTTTCATCTTCAATTGGTAGAAGTTATTATGTTAGGCATAGCGTGGTGGTTAAAAGGTCAGGGTTAGAACACCAAGTTTCTGGTTCTGACCCTGCCACTTGATAGCTGTGTGGCCTTGAGGAAGTTACTTCACTTTGTCACAGTGTCAATATCTGTAACCAGGACTGATACTATTAACTACTTTTAAAAATTGTTTATAGAATTAAATGAGTTAGTGTATACAAGCAGAATTAGTATTTAACAAGATGCTTTAATATTTTTAAAATTCATATTCTAGGCATTAAAGCAAGTGCTTAAGATAGATTTGTTGTTTTTGTAACTTGCTTTCAAGTTGAGTTAAATTATTGAAATTAAGGTTTTGTGTTTTTATTCACAGACCCTTCTTAATCTCTAGTCACCACATGGTGGTGAAGTGAAGCCTCAGTGGTGGATTTCAGAATCTTTAGACTCTTGGTGTACTTTGCTTAGCAACATCAAAATCCTCCAAATCATGTGTAGAAAAGTAGGATCTAAATTTTCTGAGAGCATTTTATTTTCTTCATTTGTAAATGAATGTATTGACTTACTCTAAGGTTCTTTCCACCTTACAAAAATGTGGTTCTGTAAGAAAATGAAAGAAGCCCTCTCCCTTCTCATCTGGTTTTTATATGTTGACATTTATCATACCATCAGAGGCCTGTGAAGTTTCTTCTTCATCTCATATTTGAAATTGAAACTCCACTTAACATAGTGAAATTTATTTTTAATTGTAATACGTAAAACTGGTGACATGACTTCATGGTTTCTGAACAGCAGTTTGGACAGAGTCAACTCCTCTATACACAGGACACGTTACCAATATCCAGCTCATTGGCACCGAGTTAGAAGGAAGGGATTATTGGCAAATAATTTTGTACAATGGCAAAGCTCATGTCCAGTTAATTGTAAGACTAGGAATATTTACTTTGTCTTTTAATAACTTTTAGATACATGATAATCAGCTGGCATCCCTTCCTCCTGCTATAGGAGAACTAGAAAATCTTCAGAAACTTAATGTCAGGTAAGATTTAAGCTTAGTTATTTCTAATATTGTTATTATAATGTTGTAAACCTGACATTCTTTAATTTTTTTTCCTAACATTAGAAAATGTCTCTGTATTATCACAAAAAGTAGTTAAAGCAGAATAAGAATTTTAAGTTTTTAATTTGTCTTTCTTTGGTTTTAGAGTTACCTAGTCTTCTGGTTTTCCAAATTTAAGTCCAGTTGATTTTTTAAAAAATGCTTTTGTATTATTTTTATGTAACAATTCTTAGTGGTTATTTTAATAAACTCTTTGTTTTTGTCTCAACTTTTAATTTACCTTGATAATCTAAAAAATATCTAGGTATTAAACAGTAAGGAAGAAATATAAAACTATTCTTTCATTAACAATGAAAACTTCTGTGGCTTTTATTAGTAGTAGTTTTTAAACTTTCCCAAGGGCTTCTGGGATTCCACAGATGCATTTCTAGTACTTTCATGGATAGGTACATGGCTAATAGGCAACTAAGGTTCTAGCTAACTCTGCTTGCCCTCCAATACACACCCAGACTTTTAAGAAAGAATAACTTTGCCTTTTCTGTGTTAAATACACTCTAATTACGTGAAAGGAGATCATGGGTGATATCATTTGAGAGAAGAAACAAATGGTACTTCAAGCATAGTTTGAAAAATTGTGGCTTATAAAATAAATATGTTATAGATCTCTTTAACATAATACAGTGAAATCCATTTTCTGGAGGCAAGTTAAGTAGTTAGAGGAAAAACAGTCCTTTAGTTTAGTCAAATAACAGTAGTCATTTGGTGAAAAGTGTAAAATTACCATAAATCCGTAAAAAGGTACTAATTGTTTACTACATTAGAGCCTCTTCCCCTTACAAGTCAAGAGTAGTATACACAGAGGGTGTGGCCTCAGCTTCAGACTCAAAAACTTACAAGTGTGAGCGTGGGAAAGGGGGACGGGGAAGTGCACGGGTGGAATTACAGCTCTGCCCAGCTAGATCTCTGTCAAATACACAAAGATTTCACTAAATGAACAAGAATAATATCTGACTTTTTGCAGTTTTATTGGTTTTTAATTTTTGAAGACACTTTTGGCTTTTTGTTTTCAACCAGTTTTATTCTAATGTAATTTAAAGTTGTTGCAAGACCCTCCTATTTCCCATTTCCTCCCCGTTATTTGTGAAGTAACTGTAATGTCATCCTTGTACATATTTTGACAAAATTATAGACGTCAGATAAAGTATAAAAATTGAGTCTAGTATATTATTTCCTGTTACACATAAAATTAAGAGTTCATTATAAGCAAGTAATCAAAAATTCACAAATTCATGTTTGGTTAAAAATCTTTATTTCTTTGATGCTCTAATTTGTTTACTGTTATTTTAGTAAATATAAATTTCGGGGGTGGTTAGTAACCACATTTCATTTTTGTAATGAGCCCAGGGTAAAAATTCCTTTGGTAAGTATGTATCGTGCTGTTGGTGAATTGGCAGCATTTACTTTATCAATCAACAGCCATAACAAGCTGAAAATACTCCCTGGAGAGATTGCCAACCTGAGGAACCTGAAGGGCCTGTATCTCCAGCATAATGAACTCTCTTGCATATCAGAGGGATTTGAACAACTTTCCAGCTTAGAAGATTTAGTAAGTTGTGATTTTCCAATTTTTACATAGTTTGGGGCTGGTATAGTTTTTATCAGGCTGAGAGATTTTGTATGTGGAAACATGGACAGCCGATTTTATGAGTAGATTATCAGAAATTGTGCATTTCAATTAGATTGCTAAACTAGTCATTGTAAATTTATTTATATATTTGTATATGTATATATATACATACATACACATACAGTGTGTTTGTGTATGTAGTCTACTTATGTTTTATACCTGATTTAATTAACTGCAATAAATATTTAATTTCATTAGTAATTCTGTTGTTTAGAATTTAGAGGAAAGTTTATTGGAATGATCTGTGTTTTTAAAAATGTTTTGAGAATTCGATTTTTGTTAGTAACTGTATTTTAAGCCTTTTACTTTGGAAAAAATTTTAGATTAATAGAAAAGTTATAAATATAGCAGAAAAGTTCTTATATACCTTTTACCCAGCTTCCAGTAATGTGAAAATTTTATGTAACCACTGGTCATTTGTAAAAACTCAGAAATTTAAATTGGTACAATACTATTTAAAGGACAGGTTTTATTCAGATTTCCCCAGTTTTTCCACTAGTGGAGGTTTTTTTTTGCGGGGGGGGGGAGTGTCTCAGAATCCTATTGAGGATAACAAATTGCATTTATTATTAGTAACTTTTGATATTACAAAATATTTACTTATTAGCAATTTCTTGATTCTTAGTTTTTTGTATTAGAATCGCAGATTATGTTGTATGTTGTAGACTATGATAATGTTATGTTATTACAATCATAACAGTATGTTTTTTGCAAGAAGAGCTGATCCAGCATTTTTACTTTTTTCACCTTTTCAGTTTACCCAGCGTCACAAAATACAGTTGTTTAAGTTAGATTAAATGTGAGAACTATTAGAGAAGACTAGTCAGGTCATTTTTTCCGAGACATTGTTGCCATTGGCCCTGCTTAACACTTTGCTGATAGCTAGTGGGGCTCTTTACACGTAATTTGAGTGTTAGGACTGTTTGAGAGTTAGAAAAATCACCCCATTCATAACAATGTCTTTTGAAAGGAGTTTCAAAGAAAAGTTCATATATTACTGTTAAAGAGGAAACAAACATAAGGATTTTTTAAAAAACATTCAGTATAGAGATTTAATTAGTCCAACTTGAATGAGTGAAAAGTAAAGTGTAGGTGTCTGGGCTTAGTCATAGCAGAAGAACCAAGGGAAAACTTTTTTTTCCCCAAGAAATTTAAAGGCCATTTTTCCACTTTATTTTTCTTTCAGAATTTTTTTTCTTGTAAAGATATTTTTGCATTTCACATTACAGTTTATCAGTAATGTGCCTAATTTATTATAGGTACTCAAATACTAGGCAGATGAATGGACTTATGCATGGAAAGCATGATGTATGATTTAGCACGACTTAGCTTTAATAGAAACTTTTATGTAAAATATTTTTGAAGTCAGAATTCATTTTAATTCCT